AAAGAGCAGCAGAAGCATGGCCCACAGCCCAAGACCATGCAAACAGCATTGTCAGCTGAGCACAACAGAAACGCCTACCTACCACTCCCGCTTGTCTCTAGACACAGGTCACTTGTAGGGGTCTCCCAGAGTGAAAGGGAAAGGAGAGGTTGGGGAGGGGGAGCTGGGGAGCAGGAGCACACACATGGGCCCTTCTCTCTAAACCTCTAAACAGGCCCAGCAGTTTCCAGCCTTGTGCAGGCTTGAAGACCTGCAAAACACTGTTCATTATGTCTCAGGACTTTACAGTACAGTTCAGACACCCCATATCTTCCTTCAAACACCTCTACCCACATTGACACCCATCCTTCAGAGGACTCCTCATGCATTGACACCCATCCTTCAGAGGACCCCTCATGCAACACCTCTGTCCCAGGCTAAGCTCTGTCCCTGATTTAACTCTACCTAGCTTCTCTGTGCAGCTGTCCTATATCCTTGCAGACAGCCTCAGAGATGTACTAGGTTTGAGATTTCTATCATGCAACGTGAAACAAAAAGGTAGTATAAATTGGGCTCATTTTCCATTGGGGAAGACTTAGCTCAAGTCTTATCTATGCATTAATGGGGGAAAGGTAGTCTTCAGACCTGCCAGAATACCAAGGAATATTATATTTATTCCTATTTATTGTCTGCTTCTTGCTGTCCCTTCTCTTTTTGCCTCACTTCTGCATTGTGTGGTGACCCTGTCTAACCAGTAGCCATCAGCCCCTGTTTTCAAGTCTGTTATAGTTCATCATAGCCCAGGCTAATAAAGAAAGCTCACATAAGCACTGCAGGCTGTGTTCTTTCCAGCATGGCAATGAGCTACTGCATAACTTTTCTCCTGTGAATGCTGCCTACTGACACCATCCAGAGAACATCTCATCCACAGGCCTTGCTCTATCTCAGAGTCCCCAGGGGAGGGTGTTCCTCACCTATGTTTTAGTTGAGAAGAGGCTGTTAGTCCCAAGGCTTGCTGCCATAGATTTGGGATAGAACTGAAAATGCATCCTTACAAAACTTGGAGATATGAGCTCAACTACAGGACATAGCCATTATATTCAGCCCCTATTCCACTTGTTGGCTCATAGCCACATCCTGGGGTCCCAAGGCTCTGCTAGGGAGAGTTGAAGGTCAACAAGGTGTAGCGACTTATCCACAGAAGGTCAAGATATTAATGCACAGTACTATCTTATCCTATTTTGGATTTCACCCTCGTGCTGCACCCACACAATTGGCTATAGTCCTTTGTGTGTGTTAGTTTCAGGTCAGACTAGGTACAGCAGAACTCCGTAAATTACGCTAGATACTTCAGTCTCCTGCAGAGCTGCCAATCCCCAGCCCCCTCTGCAGCACATGGGTTCAAGGTTAGACCCTTCTCAGCACAGCTCTATGGTGGCATATTACAGGCAGGGGACAGAGCTGAATTTTAGGGCTAATGGAAGGCTGAACTATTTGTTCCTGAATCCTTGACCCAAAGAAAACATTGTACTGGGCAAGCAAGGGACTCCTACTGTCAAAGGTTTAATACAAATTTATTTGCTACAGATAAGAACTCTACAGTGAGTCAATACAGCTGATATACAACAGAAGAGTCAAAGTCTGTACTGTACATAAGACATGCAAAGCTAGGAGAGTGTGCCCTTTCCCCAATAGGGATAGGTAAGAAGAGTGACCACAAATCTGGAGTTTCAGTCTATTGCAGGATTTCTCACCCCTAGAAGACTCTCAAAACATAGGAGCAAATTACAGCAAGACCCTGGAAAAGGAAATCTCTAGTTCTCCACAAAAGGACATTGTTGGTTCTCTTTGTTCAAGTCACTCCAAGCACAGTTCTCAGATTTGAGGCTCCTGCTCAGATCCACTGTTACTTCCTTCTTCTCCCCAAGATTCTCTCCCAACACGTGCCTCTTACCCTAGAGAAATAAAAAACACCCCCAAACAGTGTAAAACACAAGTTAATTGAGGGTTAATTACTTCTCAGTGGAACACGTAGCCCATTTTCAGGCCATTCAAACTTTGGCTCTCTTCTGAGAGGTCTAAGAGCGACAGACTTCTTTCTACAGCCTAAGGAGAAAGGATGCACTGAAATGGCCAATATCATGGTAAGGCCAAAGATACAGACATTGAATAAGATTTGGAGGCATCTAGGGACAAGACTGACCCACAGAAAAATACTTATGAAGTCACCAGGCTCTACTGGCCTGGGAGGCCACAGTTCCAAACTGGGGCCCTACCAATCACAGAAATTGAAGCATTTGGGTTTGGTTTTTTTGTTTTTTTTTTTTTTTTTTTTTTTTTTTTCTTTTTTTAGTCCATTCTCCCTCCCACAGCATGACTCACTAAGCTTTACCTGGCGAGGGACTGGAGCACTGGGGGAATTATCATCTTGTAGGATGCTGAGGGGAGAGCGACCAGTTCCACCAGATGTTGCCATGATTTTGTTGTTGGTCTTGCATCTTACAGGCTTGCTCCCTAGTGACAGAAGTAAGCATGTCAGTGTATCACAAAAAGGCTAGAGGTCCTGGATTTTAAATGCCTCCTGGCCTTTATGACCTAGCTTGCTTGCCTGCACAGCTAAGACTGTTACCCAAGGACTTCCAGGTAAAGGGATCACAGAAAGGTTGAGGTGAAAGGGACCTCTGGAGGTCATCTGGTCCAAACCCCCTGCTCCAGCAGGGCCACCTAGAGCCAGTTGCCCAGGACTATGTCCAGATGGCTTTTGAATATCTCTAAGAATGGAGATTCTGTAACCTCTCTGGGTACCCTGCTCCAGCACTCAGTCACCCTCATAGTGAAAAAAGTGTTTCCTGAGGTTCAGATGGAGCTTCCTGTGTTCCAGTTTGTGCCCATTGCCTCTGGTCCCATCACTGGGCACCACTGAAAAGAACCTGGCTCTCCCTTCCTTATACCCTTCCTTCAGGTATTTATACATATTAACAAGATCCCCCCTGAGCCCTCCCTGCTACAGGCTGAACAGCCCCAGGTCTCAGCCTCTCCTCATAGGAGAGATGCTCAGCACAGTTTTCTGAAACCCAGCCTGTATTACCACTCAGTCGTAGCACACTTGGATGCGCTTCCTGCCCTTGCTCCCCGGCTCTTCCCAAGGAGGAACTGCAAGGTCCCTCTGAACAGGCCTCCACAACTACAAACCTGTCTCTGAGAGAAGAGCTGACATTTACCTTTTAAAGAGGTACATTTACTTCTTGATTTTGACTGCAGATTGAAAAAGTAATTTTTCAGTTCCTGACAGAAGTCAGTTCGATAAAAGAACAGTTTCCAGAGGGGCCTCCCACCCGCAGAGCCCCAGGGCCAGGCTCCGGAGGGTGCCGAGAGCCCTGACCTGCTCATATCACGGACCGTGCAGCTCTCCAGGCACACGGAGCCTTAGCTGTGTTACCCCCCACACCGAGCACTTACCCGAGGAGAAGCCGGGCCCGGCAACGCGGGCTGCCCGAACCGGGGCCACGCTGGGAGAGGGCGGCCTCTCCGCCTCTTCCCCCGAGAGGGCGG